GTTCCGGAGGCTACAAAGTCCAAATCCACGCACCAGCAGGTTGGTGTGGGTGAGGGCTGCTGTGTTCTCCAGGACGGTGAGCACTGTCCTCTCCTGGTGGAGGGCCGCAGGGCCCCGAGGCACGTGGAGCTGAGACTGGGCCTCTAGATTCCGCCAAAGTTCGGAGGCCTGACTCTGGGCAGCCCGCAGAGAGGCCCACTGTCCGGGTCTTCCTGCTGGCCATGTCCCTGAGGAACCACCAAGTGTCGGGCTGGGCTGGGCTCAGTGGTGGGCACTTGCCTAGCACTTGTGAGGCCCTGGGTTGGATCCTCAGCACCTTGTTCAAACTCTGCCCCTAGAATGTGACCCCCCTCTCAGCCTCAGGGGTCTCTGGCTGGTTCTGTGGGACCTGTGTGAGAGCCGGGGGGCTTGCTCCTGTCCCCCTCTGTCTGGAAGGGGTTTTCTGGACACTGGGGAGGCCAGAATGTCCCCAGAGCATCATGCTGGGACAGCTCTGGGGCTATGGCTCTGCTTTGGATAGGAAGAGACCTGGACAGTCATCTTATGAGCACTCTAGGGACTGATGGTGACAGCCCCAGCAGCCTCAGCTGCCCCAGCTCTGGGAGAGGCCTGGGTGATACTGGACCACAGACCAGCGGAAAGCCAAGTCACTTCAGCTATCTGGGTCCCAGAGGGTGGGGTGGTGGGGCTGCTCAGACCTGTGTCACACAGTGGCCACTGAAATGACCATCGTCTAATGGCCTGCGTGTGCGTGGGTGCACCTGTACTTTGGCCCTGGCTTGGCCTTGTCCCTACCCGGGGTGGGGGAGGAATGCAGAGTGCCACGGCCTGTGCGGCCCTCAGACCACTGGGCACCGGGGCCAGCGCTCCTCGAGCTGCCTCCCGCCTCCCCGCCCCATAGGCCTCTCCTGCCGCTGCGTGTCGTTTCTCCTTTCCGCCCTTCCTTCCTGGGCGTTGAACCCAGGGGTGCTGTCCCACTGAGCCCTTTCCCCAGCCTGTTCTATTTTTATTTTGAAACAGGGCCTGGCTAAGTTTCTCAGGCTGGCCCTGAACTTTCAATCCTCCTGCCGTGGCCTCCCTAATAGCTAGATGACAGGCGGCACCACCTTGGCCCATCGCAGGAGAATTTGTACGAGGTGGACCCATGAAGACCCGGGTACTGCTTTTTAGGCGAGGCTGGGACGCACAGGCTGTGGGATCGAGGTCCCCTGCAGTGTTGGACAGGGCGGTGGAGGGGTGGGAAGGGCAGTGGCCGGGGCCCAATCACTCCTTGCAGCCACATGTTGGCTCCAAGGCGTCTGAGAATCCCACACTTGAACCAGCGTCCCCCAGTGCCACGGAGGGTATCTGCTGAGATAAGAGGGGGACACATTTTGTTCAGTGGTGGCTTCTAGACACTTTCCGGATCTGCACGGCTTGGGCCGGTTGTGTTTGCGTCTAATTCCCGGAATGTGCTTGCTGCTGGAAGGACCCCGAGAACCACCCCGGCCACCCCATCCTTCCACAGCGGCCCAGTGAGCGGAAGAAAAGCAGGTTGAGGCGACTCTTCAAAGGGGACTTTATTCACTCCTCGGAGCAGCGGGGGCCTGGCTGCGCCCCACGCCCCCGCAGAGCTGCTGCTCCTCTGAGCCGAGGCCACCTGGTACCAAGGACACATCGAAACATCCACTTCCTTCCCTTTTTTTTTTTCTTTTTTTTTTTTTTTTTTTTCGGTACAAAATGATACAAACAACGATACAAAATAGTTGTGCTGTTGACGATTACAAAAAAAGCCGGAACACTTGTCTGACGGCGCGATGCTCAGATTGCAGAGAGAAGACGTCATACTCCGGTACCTTTCCAAGACAACCACGGTCATGCGGGCTGCTATGCAGTCTGTCCATTCTCAGAAAGAAACATGCAAAATAAACCAGAATGGAAAAGGAGAGAAAGGAAAAGCAAAGGCGTCCGAGTGCACACGGGGGCCTGGCCTGCTGCGGGCAGCGGCCAGCCAGCCTGGAGCCGCCGCGGGAGGCCCCTGTGCACGGGAGATTCCGTTCCGATTTTTGGTGTTACTCCTTTTTAGCTTGATGGAAATGGAGATTCCCTTCCCCCTGGCGTTTGACTTTGGAGAGGACAAGTGGTCACCTCAATGGACCGTGTACTCTCGCGAGGGAAGCCGAGGCACCTCTGAGGGCCTGACAGTCAGACGTTACTCTGACCCTTTGGTGGCGGGAGGCCTAGCATTTTGGATGTGCTGAAAGACAAGAAAGAAAAAACCTGCTGGCCAGGAGATGGGGTGCCCAGGCTGACCAAGGCCAGGGTGTTCTTGACACCACTTTGCAGCACAGCTTTATTCTGCTCTAGAAGGAAAATGCCCTAAAGAAACTAAAGCATGCCCCGCACCCTGCCAGCCAGCCCGGGCCCTGCGCCTGGGCCGACCAGACAGGTCACATCTACAAGCTACAGAAGAGAGACGGTGACACGGATTGTACACTGGCTAATGCTAACTCAGGGCCTCGGGGCAGAGCTCCGAGTGGATCTGGTGTGGGAACCCCTTCTTCTCTGGCCCCAGGGGCTGACCGGGTGTGGGGTGGAAGGGAAAGCTGTCAGCTGTCACAGGGAGCCCCCACGGACACACCCCAGCTGGTGTGCGGCCTCAGCCTGCCCGTGCAGGGGGCCTGGTGGTGAGGAGAGGAGGGAGCGACAAGTGGGGCCAGGAGATGCGCCCAGCAGGCCGCGGGATTCCACTCTCCTGGCCAGAGGACCACGTTCGCTTGGGGATTCAGTCCCCTGCTGCCCATCGCATGCACACTGCAAACGGGCCACTCGTCCTTCTCCGGCTCAGAACTGCCATCCAAGGACCAACTATCCAAAACACTAAGCAGAACATTCCAGCTCCCACCCCCAGCCCCACCAGGCCTCCAGCCATGGCCACGCCCCCAGACACCTGGGCCCCCTCATTGGCTGCCAGCCCAGAGCGATTTGCATAGCACGGCTTGAGATGGGGACCCTCCCTTCCGGGGCCCATCTCCTGGACTGGCTATCTGCAGGGAGGGGCTCCAGGCAGGACAGGGCAGCCCCCGCCCCTCCTCCCCCCAGGCGGTCACAGTCACAGGAGAGGTCAGGACAGACAGAGCTGAGCCTGACCCAGCTCAGCTCTGAGGAGAACAGAGGTGGGGACAAGTTTGGTTTGGGGAAGAACCCTGACGTCCAGTGGGATACACCCACAAGTTTGGCACATATAGAGTCCACTCAGGTGCATCTTTGAGGCCAAAGCTATTTAGAAAAGAGGACAACTTAGCAAGGGGAAAGACAGAGGCCAGGGGAAGCAAGGGATCAGAGCCCTTCGGGTGGGGAGCACGGTGCCCCTGGCGCCCCACCTCCCAGCCCTTCCGAGGCTCTCCGACCCCAGCAGCGTGTGGGCATCGCTGACCTTCCTCAATCCTGGCACCTCCTGCTCCCCCAAGGGTGCTCCGATACCAGGTCCCCCAGGCCACTGGTTCCCTCACCCTCACAATGTCACTGTCTGGGGTCAGCCAGAAATGACCAGGCAGAGGACGCCCCTCCCAGTGCCTGCCTCCTGCTCGGCCCGAGGTGCCCCTGAACCCAGACTTGGAGGTGCCCCAGGCCTGCTGTCTCGCCCAGTGAAGAAGGCAGATGCCTTCTCCTGGGAGTCCCTGGGCACAGCCTGATCGGTGTCCTGCGGGACTGAGTGCCACCCCCCAACCCCAGGCCTGAGTCAAGCCACGCGTGGAAAGAGCAGGCGCCAGCTCTGGAGGGACCGTGGCAGAGCAGCTGGGACCTAGGACGGTTCAGTCTCTGGCACGGGTAGCTTAGAGGATCTGTGGATGGACAGCTCAGGAAGACCAGGCCTCTCGCTGGCCACCTGCAGCAGTTCACAGACATCAGACAGGAGCTGGGGTCCGACGGCCCGGGAGGGAGCAGCCAGGGTCTGCCAAAGTCAGTGCTGGTACCAGGCCTGTGGTTGCTGAGAGGCAGGCGGCTCTGGCTTGGGCTAGGCGAGGTTCTGCCCTCTGCTCAGGCCTGGGCTGGACAGTGTCAAGGAAGTTCAGGGTTGGGCTGAAGCGTTTTCACCAGGCCTTCCACGGGGTCCTGGGAGTCCACTCCCGAGTGGCTGCAGGTCGTGCCGGGTTTGCAGGACGCTGTGGCTTCTTGGACCAAAGGTGAAGGGCACCTCCGTGGCACTGGGGATGCCAGCTGGCTCAGAAAGAGGCCTTTGGGGGACGGGACAATGGGGTGGCCGAGGCAGAGGTGGGAGCACCCGGGGCAGGCTCTGGGGACCTGCTGCCCAGCTGTTCACAGCATCTGACTATGGTGGGGACAGCCACCAACTTGGGTGAAACCACGTCCCCACGGCCTGGGTGTTGTGGTCAGGGGGTGGCTGACACTGTGCCTCTGCTGCTGGGAAGCCCCTGCCGTGGACACGAAGGCTGTGAGGACCTGGGCCCAAGCTACTTTTCCAAGAGTCACACACGCCTTCTGTTTCTTAGTAAGAGACGCACGCACGCACAGAACCCCAACAGAACCCAACAGAACCAAAACCCTAACGAACAACAACAACAGCAAAAAAAAAAAAGAAAGAAAGAAAGAAAAAAAACCAACAAAGAAAGAAGAAGGACGCTGTCCGTGCCTTCCTGGGGGCCTTCCGCCGGCTGGCAGGGGCCGGGCGGGGCGGGCTGGGCTGTCTGCTTGCTTTCAGTCACTCCTGAGTTGGGGGATCTGACACGTGTACCAAAGGCACTTTCGTTTTTGAAACAGTGCTTCTGTTCTGGGGATTCAAGTCAGGACGGTGCCTCTGGCTCTCCCTTGTGGTAGGTGGCGACTGAGAGGGCAGCAGGCCTGGCCAGGACAGGGACAGGTCATGCTGGACAGCTCCACCTGGGGAGGGCGGGGCGGGGCCTCCACAGCAGAGCTGCTGTCCCTGCAGGGAGCCGGCGGCTGCCTGGGCTCAGTCCTCTCCGGGTCCGCCTGCTCTCTTGGCCCTGGGAGGCGGGCAGCTAGTCCTCCTCGCCGCCCCCGTACATGTCGGCCAGCTTCTTGAAGCGGGGCCCCCAGTCGTTCAGGTAGTCGTAGTCTTGGTCCCCCGAGCTGGACGAGCCCAGGGAGCTGACGGAGCCCGCGGTGGAGCCGCTGCCCTCGTAGTCGAAGACCAGCAGGGAGTCGTAGGGCGGTGCGGTGGGGTCATTGTCAGCGGCGCGAAGTCCCTGGGGGCCAGAGACTGGGAATTAGGGAGCAGGTCAGAGCGAGGGCCTGGGAGGTTCTGGGCCTTGCACACAGGAGGAGCTCGGTGAGCACCTGGGTCTACCTGAGAGCACCAAGGGGCCGGATCTGGGGCAGCCTGCTGGGTGCAGGTGCGAGCTGGGTGGCGAACGCAGGGGCCAGCCGTGCCCACGAGAGAGACTGAGGTGGGCTCGGTGGCCCCCGTGCTCAGCCACTACCCTGGGCCCTGCCGGGGCTGCTCCTCTCCAGGCCTGCTCACGGCCTCCAGGGGGAGGACCCGGGCAGCCGTCCGAGGCTGGCGGTATTAAAGTGGGCGCAGTGAGTGAAACGGGGCTGCGTGGCGGTGTCCCTGGAACCAGCCGTCCCCTTCAGCGCTTGCCCACCACCTCCATGGCCAGGCCTGCTGCACGGCCAGCCAGGAGGCCCCGGAGCAGCCACTCTGGGGTGCACCTGCGCCCAGCTCCCCCGCCCGCTGGATGTGTTCTGTGCCAGCGGAGGTCTCTGGCTGGCCAGGCGCTGACTGGCTCCTCCCCCTCCCTGGGCTCCCCGGGATCAGCCCCCAGGTAAGCCACTTGGCTTCAAGTCCTGTCTCTGAGCCTGTTTGGGGAGAAACCCACGGAGACAGGAAACTAATTCAATCTAGAAGTGGACTCCAGCGGGCTAACGAGGCACATCCCAGCTCCCCGCCTGCAGTTCAGGTGACATCGGAGTTTGTGCATGACTAGGCAGTTCCCCCACGCTGCCCCTAGGGCAGGGCCTGGGCAGAGTCCAAGACCCAGCAGGTCCCACGTGCCAGGGCCTCGGGGCTCCTGTGGAAGCCGGGAAGACCTTTCCTGCAGACGAGGGAGACGTGCCTCGGTCCCGCCTCAGAGTGGCCCACGGCTGCCACTGCTGTCACCACCACAACAGCCAACTTCCTGCTGGTGCCTGCTGTGCACTGAGCACAGAGCCTTCACCCTCCGGCAGGGTGGGACCTTAGTCCTTCTCTGAGAAGGACGCTGAGGACAGGCCTCTGGTGGGCAATGCCTGGCCCTGAACCCACCTTCTCACCAAAGGCATCTGTTGGTGCGCATTCATGGGGATTTACTTTTAGAGGACACACCGTGCTCAGATGACTCACTGAGAGGGCACCCACCTCGTTGATGAAGTCCCCGATGTCACCTGGGTGGGGTACCACAGGCCTGGCTGGGTACTGGGGCTCAGCGCCCACTGGCCGCTCGTCCACCCGCCGCACTCCAGGGGCCTTGCTCAGCACGTGCTCCAGGGCTTCCGGCTGCTGCAGCTGGCTGAGGTCATAGTCCTGGGGATGGAGGCCAAGAGCACTCAGGAGGCCACCAGGTGGGCACCAGAGAGTCCCTGAGTGCACCTTTGTCTTGCTCTTCCACCTGCTGAGTGTACGTCAGCTGTCCTGTTCCCAGCCCCAGTACCTCCCTGGCCTCCTCCTACCGTGGCCACCCCTGCGCCATTTCCCAAGTCCTGGCTGACCTCCGGGCAGTGTGGGGGCTGTGCCCTCTGCCTTCTCTGGCCTGGTGCTCCACCAGAGTGACCCTGTTTCCCCTGCTATTCAACCACCAAGCACACTCTGCTCTGCCTGGTCCTCTCTGCAGGGAGGCGCTGGCCCTCCCCCTTCCCACCAGGCCTCTCTGTGCCATCTACCATCCCTGGTCCCACAGCTGCCTCTCTGGGACTGTTGAGCAGGTGGGCATTGGTGTGTCCAGCAGGGATCCTGGTGCCCTCTTCTGTAGGGCTCAGGGCAGCACTGGGCTGGGGTTGGCGGCTGGAGGGAGGGAGGAGGATGACAGGGGAGGACACAGGTAGGTGCAGGCTGCACAGCTCAGCCCAGGGCCAGAGAGGCCTGCGGAGGCACCAGGGAGGTGAGCTGAGAGTCCCCTGCTGCTGCCTGAGGCACCAGTGGAGGTGCCGGCGCCTGGCGCTCTGACCTGGTCCTCCTCGCCTCCGCCCTCCTCGTCGTACTTGAGGATGTTGTCCCTCACGTCGTCCTCGGGGTCGATGAGCAGCTGCTTGGTGTGTCGCTCCTTCTCCCGCCGCTTCATCCACACCACAAACAGCAGGACCATGGCTGTGGGAGCGCAGCGCCGTGAGCACACCACACGCGGCGTGCGCCTCCTGTGCACAGCCGCGCCCCGCTCGCGAGCACCGCGTGATCGGGCACGTGCGTGTTCCATGCATGTCTACCCGAGTGCACACGCACGTGCCCCTGTGTGGAGGCATGTTGGGTTGCGCAGGCCGTGGTGCACGCTAGTGTTCGGGTGTGTCTCCCGGGTGCAGTGTGCACATGCGGGTGGGACCTCTTGTGCCCGTGAGTGTGTTCAAGCGCAAGCTCCGGGGACCCCACCCTGTGACCATCCAAACCACAATGTTCATCCCTCTGTGAAGCGGTGGAGTGTCTGCCCAGAGCCCACCCAGCCCTTCTGGGCATTGCCAATCGGCTCCAGATGGCATGAAGCCTGGCACCATGTGAATGCCCGGTGGGTAGCCACTACACTGTGCCCCTCGGGGGTGATGGTGGGAGAGAACGGCCACGTGGGCTCAGCCTGACCCTGACTGGGATTGTCCTGAACATTTTTGATCTGCAGTTAGTGGGGCCCATGGGTGCGGAGGCGCGGATGCAGAGGGCTGGCTGTACTTCCTTCCCTTCCACCTGCCGCCCACAGGAGGCCCAGCCTCGCACACACCTTGCCCCCCAGGGGTACGGGGCGGAGCTAAGGGGCCCACCCACAGGTCCTCTGACCACCCCTCTTCTGCACAGTAAAAGTGTGAAGTTAGAAAAGGAGGTGAAAGGGAGGGTTTGTGGGCACTGAGGGTCTGGGCAGAAATCAGTGAGGGAGAGGGATTTCTCCTGATCGGAAGGGGACGGGGAGGGCGGGGCCCACAGGGGGACCTGCCAACCTGGCAGGGAGGGGAGTTTGGGCTGCCCCCTTGCCATCTCCAGGGGCCCCAGGGAGTCACCCTGACACAGCCTCACCCAGCACCAAGGGGTAACTGGGGGAGCAGGCTGGGGGCTCTCCCACCACCCAAAGGAATTGGGGTGCTGCTCGGTGGTTCAGGCACAAACCCACACTGTGGACATCTCTCTCCCCACCCACATTGGCCTCCCCTCTGCCCTCTGGGGTCTGTGCCAGGCCCTGCGCCCCTCGCTACTCCTGTGCATCTCCAGACCCCTGGGAAGAGCCTGCCGTGCCTGTCCCCTGCGTCGTATCTGTGTCCCCGTTGTGGCGGGCGGGGTCTGCTGCGTGTGGGCTCTGGCAGGCTGCACTGTCCACGCCCTCAGGCACACGCGGTCACTCCTCTGCCCCCTGCAGCTCCTGTCACCTGACTTTTCCACAGATGGGAGACTGAGACCCAGAAGTGATGGGCAAAGGCCACACTGTCCAGGGGACAGTGAGGCGGGTGCAGGGACCCCTGGACCTGCGGAAGGCAAGCTGATTCCTTGGTGTGGCTGCTGAGCCTGTGACAGTAGGGCTCTGAAGTGTGTGTCAGCTCAGAGGGAAGGACAGTGTTTCCTGAGGTGCCTGGGGGCAGGAGGCCAGGGTGGGACCTGATGCTTGGTTCCTGGACGTTCCAGCATGTGGAGACCCTCTGACCGGGATGTGACATGGACAGGGGGCAAGACCCCTGCTCAGTCCTCCCTGCTTCTACCACGGTCCCTGGGCTGTGGTCGACCAGGGTGGGAGCAGGGGCCACCTGGGGCCTTCCTACATACCCTCTCCTTCCTCACAATCTCAGTCCCGTGTGGGGCCACCTGGACAGCAGGAAACGCAGGACTCTTGGACCACGTGACCTGGGTGCAGCCAGCACCCACTCTGTTCCCTGGTTGGTGATTGGTTCCAGTGTGGGCATGTGACCTGAGCCCATCCAATCAGAGCCCTGAGACTCTGGATGGACCACTGACAACTCCCAGCATTCATGGGAGCTGCCCACGGGCACCGGGGCAGCAGTGGGAGAAACAGAAGGTGGAGGGTCAGGTTCAGGATGCAGTGGCCAAAGTGTAAATCAGGAAGGAAGAAAGCGGCCGGAGGGGACGTGGACGTGGCAGAGCCAAAGCCATCCCCTGAGCAGCCCTTGACGCAGGAGGTGGGGCGGGTGGGCCTGACCAACTGAGAGACCCTCGGTGACGAAGCAGTGACTTAGGTAAGGAAGCGGGGGCCGAAAGGGGGTCAGCCACAGGGGGCTGAGGGACGTGGGCGACCACAGGCACCTCTGTAAATAGCCCACAGGGGACGGAGCACCCAGGCGAGCAGGAAGACTGTGCGCCACATGTACTCAGCCTCGACCCCCCGGGGACAGGGCCTTGCGCTCCGGGGAGCCGCTCTGGAGTGCCTGACCTCCAGGCACCCGATCTTGCAAGATGGTCACTAGAGTCCTGCTTTTCTAGCTGTACCTCGTGTGAGCCCATTCTCTGGGTGTGGGTAGGTGAGGGTGTTCCTCATAATGGGGGGCCAGTCTCAGGGTGCAGGGGCTCTGGGAGGCAGGGTGGGTGCTGGAGAGCAGCCAGCCACTGACACCCGTGAGCTGCTGGATCAGGCCCGACCTGCACCGGCCCTGACAGGAGCAGGAGGTCCCAGTTCCCCCCAGTCCCAGCTCAGGTGGGAGGAGGCGGAGCGAGGGGTGCCGCCCTGGACTCGCCTCCGCCCTCGAGGCCCCTGGTGGGCGGCTGCACTCACTCAGCAGGAGGACGATGCAGATGAGGATGGCCACGATGGCGCCTGTGCCCAGCCCGGCTGCCGCCACGGCGCCCACAGTGGTGCAGTCGCCGTTCTCGTCACACGGGCACACCTTGACCTTGACGATGGAGGTGTTGGACAGGGGAGGGTTCCCGGAGTCGGTGACGGTGATAGGGACATCGTACATCCCGGCCTCCAGGTACAGGATGCGCAGGCTCAGCTGGGCGTAGTCACCTGGCACAGAGCAATGGGAGACGTCCAGCACATGGCCAGGCCCCTGTCCAGCAGCCCTTCTGAGGGGACACCCAGGCTGTGGTGTGGAAACCTCAGATGTCCATTCGGTCAGCAAGGACATGTGCACGTGCACACACACACACACACACGCGCACACACACACACACACACACACTATGCCACACCATTACGTTAAAGGCTTTGGCATGCAAGGAAGAGTCTCTCGAAGAGTGGAGGATGAAGACAATTTCCTGAATATGTAAAGAGTTTTATCAAATCAATCAGGAAAAACCCTACCCAGAGAGAAGCAGGCAAAGTCATTGAACAGACCACGCACAGAACAACAGCAACGCGAATTTGAAAAGATTTCCCCTGGCAGCCAGGAGAGGTGGTGAAATAAACACAATGCTTTTAAAAGCAATAGTATTCTGGGTTGGTGAGGGACGGGGAGCAGGCCCTGGGCCCAGGCTGCACCAGCCCACTTCTGGGGAGGGGTCCCAGGGAGACTCGGCAGCCAGGAATGACCAACTGACATGGGCACAGGGAGTGGCCGGTGCATGGACACTGCTGGGGCCTCAAGGGGTGGAGCAGGCAGCGCTCACCGTGGACGAAGGTCGTCCCAGCCTGGCCCGGGCGCTGCGTGGAGGGCAAGGGCAGCAGTGTCCTCCAGGAGGACCCCCCACCTGCGCTGCTCGCTCTCGGGGGCAGGTGGTCCCTGGGGCCTGTACCCCAGGCTCTGGTTCTCCCGCGGTGCTGGCCCCGGGGCTCACCGTTGAGGCGGGTGATGGTCCAGTTCTTCCGCACCGTGGCGGGGACGAAGGGCAGCTCGAAGACGTAGGGGCCGACGTTGGGGTCCACGTCGGCGTCGGCAGCGGTGATGTTGATGGCGTTGAGGCCTGGCTTCTCGCAGATCTGCGCCTCCTTGGGCAGCAGCTCGGGCGCGTTGTCGTTGATGTCGATGAGGTAGATCTGCAGAGTCCCAGTGCCGCTGGCCGGGGGGATCCCTGAAGGACAGGCGTGGTGACCACGGGGGGCCAGGCCAGGCCTCCAGCAGGCCGGAGCACAGCCACCTGGGATCAGGCCCCACCAGGACAGCGCACAGGCAGCCGCCCACAGCACACCAGAGACGCAGGCCCTCAGTCAGACGCAGCCCAGCCCCAGCCCAGCCCCAGCCCAGCCGCAGCCCCCCAGCCTGCACCACCCCCTCCACTTTCCGGAAGCCAGGGCCACACAGGCCTGCAGCCACACCCAGGACCCCAGGGCACCGCCCACAGGCTCTCCCACACACCCTCCCCTGACCAGCTACAGGAGTGCCCGCTAGCTCCGCTGTGCCCTGGGGACCCTCCTTCCCTCTGGGGCTCCCAGGGCTCTGCAAGGTGCCCAAGCCTGCCCTCCGACCCTTTCCAGCTGTTGCTGGCCCTCCTGCCTTTCCTGCCTGTCAGCAGGGCTCCGACACCTGGCCACAGTGCAGAAGGGCACTAACTGTCCCTGGGAAGGACCTGGAGGCTCCCCAGATGAGCTCTGGGTGGAGGTGGACTCCACAGTGGCCTCTCTTTCCTCTGGCCTTGGAGTGGCGGGGCGCTCTGTGAGCCCAGAGTCCAGCCCGGCCGCGGCCCAGGCTGGAGGGGCTGACGGGCACGTGCAGGCCAGGATCTGGGACAGAGAGGCCGAGAGCATCCTCACCCCGTCCGCCTCCTGGTGGCCACTCCTGGTCCTCACCACAGCTTTAGCTTTGGGGTTAGCACCTCCTACAGAGGTCAAGGCGGGGCAGTCCAGCAGCGCATTGCGGGCCTCTGGACACGTCCCCAGGAGAGGTGCAGAAGGAGTCTGTTCACGGCAGAGTTCCTGCTCCGGCCTGCTGCCCGGCCTCCCCCGCGAGCCCCACATCCTGCCCCAGGTTGTGTCCCTCCTCTCTGACCGAAGCCTCAGGGCTCAAGCTGTGGTAGGGGAGGACTCGGGAGAGTCCCCCACCCGGCTGGGTGCTCGTCACAGGCTGTAGAGGAGCTTCGTGGACTCCGGAGCCCAGGGTGGGGTGGCCGGCAGGGGCAGTCACTGACTCTGGCTTGCTATGGCCGGCTCTGGGTCCACTACTCTTGGTGTTAAGTTTTGGCTGCTCAGTGTTCTCAGAACCACCAGCACGTCCAGAGGTCCTGCCTCTGGGCCTTTGCACATCTTTTTCCTGACTTTGGGACACTCCTCTCCCACTGCCTCTTCTCCTGGGTTCTCCCTCTGGTCACACAGGTCTTGGTCCCAGGGCAGGTCCTCATCCAGACGAGCCGCTGGCCACATCCCCGCCCTGTTTCCTTGTTGTGCTTCTCTATGTGAAGCTACCTGGTGACTTGTAGTTGCCTGCTGGGGTGGAGACGGCTGGGTAGCCCCCAACTTCCATTTTGCTTTCTTTTAATGAACGAATTGGAGCCCCAGTGTCACCTGGGCTGTCACTATCCATGGAGAAGGCTCTGTTCCCCAGCATCCCTCAGCTGGACCTGGCAGGTGAGTGCCCTTCCGAGGGGGGTGGTCCCCCTGGAGTCTCAGAAGGCGGGGGTGCCCGCCCCGCCCTGCCCACGGCTGGTTTGTTGGAATGTGTGGCGGGGGCTGGAGGACCCCCGTGCTGGGCACGGTGAGGACAGGAGGCTGGTCACAGAGCGAGGCTGGCTGATCACACCCGCCTGGGCTGCGGGCGCTGTGGTCCTGTGCAGCACCTGGCCCTGGCCGGCTGACTCTCAGGACGCTGCTCTGCCAGGGGCTCTGGTCTGGTCTGCCCACTGCTGAGCAGCGGCCCCCGGGTGGTCAGGGACCAGGAGAGCGGCAGCAGGAAGAGAGGAGCTGGCCGTCGCTCGCTGGCCTGCCTGTCCCGTGCAGTGGGTGACTACTTATCTGACTTTCGGAGTTGGTAGCTCCCCCATTTCACAGAGGGGAAACCGAGGCACAGAGAGTCCAGTTCTCTTCCCATCGGGAGCAGCTGTCCTGGACAGGACGTCCACTCCTACCCCTTCCGTCTCTGCAGGGACTGGCCCCAGGAGCACCCAGCTGGCTGTGGAGGTGCTGTGGGGCCTGGGCGGCCTCTGGCTGCAAGCCCAGCACTCCGGAGGCCTGGCCGCGGCCCTGGGAAACCCCGGCTCCAGGTGCCCCTCCTGTCCAGACCTTGGGGTCCTCTGCTCCATGGCCAGTCTGGGGTCCTGGCCGCCCTCCTTCCTGGGCTCACTTCTGGCTGAACTTTGGAAGGTTCAAGGTGGGAGGCTGAGCAATGGCTCGCGGGGTGGGGGTGGGGGGCTCGGCAGGGACGGGCGGGGAGGGCCACGCAGCCGACTCCCTGATCCTGACTCCCGGTGCCCGCAGTGACCGAGGGCCAGCCTGCGGGAGGGACGCGGGAGGCAACAGCAGGTGGAAAGATGGGGCAGGGCCTGGGGCCTGATGGGGGCGGGGCCGCAGACGGGCCTCCTGCTGTCTTCCTCGTCCCAGCCCCCTGTCCCCGGGCCCCTGGCCAGCGTCCTCCCTCCCGCAGCATGGCCTCCTGGTGGGGCTCACCGTTGTCGGCAGCCAGGAAGGTGGCCTCATAGACGTTGTTTCTGATGTAGAGCGACTCGCGGTCCAGGACGGCAGCCGTGGTGATCTGACCGTTGGAGGCGTTAATGTGCAGCCAGTTGGCGGGGTCCGAGAGCTTGGAGTACCTGCAGGGGGCGTGGGGAGCTGAGGGGGGCCGTCGGGGCTCCCAGGGGTGGGCCCTGCACCAGCCTGCGTCCCGTGTGTCCCCTGGGGTTGCCTGGGGGCTGTGAGCGCCTGGCCACCCGCAGCAGGTGGACGGGGGCAGCTCAGGCACAGTGCTCCTGCTACGGTGGGCGTCCCGGCCCCTCAGGGAGCAGGCCCTCTCTTCCTCCCCAGGTGGGGACACCGAGGGACAGAGTAAGTGGCGCCCAGTCACACGGCTACTGGGGATGAAGCCAGGATTGGGCCCGACCGTCCAGACCTCCCCTGCCTGGGCTGGAGACCCGCAGTGTCCTGCTGGAGGAGCCTGGTGCTCTGTGCCTGTGGGCGTCAGGGTGTCCCAGGACTGCTGTGGCCCCGTGTGGTCAGGGCTCCCCGAGCCCCCGCTTCCTGGGTTTGGGGACTTAGGGTAGAAAACAGGGAGCCCGAGGGAGGGAGCGGCTGCTGCAGACCCACCTCACGGCTTGCTGCATGAAGCGGTCAGGGTCCACTGCGGAGAAGGTGGTGAGCGCAGTGCCTGCCGGCACGCCCTCCTCCAGGCGGATGAGCTTGTGGTTGGACGGGAAGTAGGGCGCCTCGTTGATGTCAGTGACCGAGATGGTCACCCCTGCCGTGGACTGGAAGGACATCTGGATCCCGCTGGCCAGGGCCGCCTGGTTGGACACCATCACCGTCAGCATGAAGGCCCTGTTCAGCTCGTAGTCTGCGGCCTGCAAGGAGGGGGGTGAGCTGGCGCTCCACGCACCGCCCTTCCCTGCCCCCGTCCCATCCCCAGGGCTGCTCCTGGGCCTGTCTCCTAGGCCCCTTGTGGGGCTGGGCAAGGGGAGGACCGAGGGGCCAGGGAAAGGACCCCCAGCCCACCCCATGCCATGCTGAGGCTGAAGCTGGGTCTGGGGACCTGGCAGAAGACCCCTCCCAGGTTGTCACCTGGTTCTGGGAAGGTCCGCACCTACCCTGATCCCTCAAGCCTAGCATGGAGTCCCCTGGTGTGGGTGCCCCCGAGTGGCATGTCCCCTGAACTCGTGATGGCCCTTGTTTGGAACAAGGTCTTTGCAGATGTGATTCAGTTAAAGTCTCGCGGGGAGACTGTCTGTGGGAGAAAGGCAGGGGAATTGGGGCCCGTGGACATGGAAGGAGGCCGTGAGCAGGCCAGACGAGCAGGTGGGCCCCAGGGACCCCAGGGGCTGGCAGACTGAGAGAGGCGGGCAGTGACGCTCCCCGGAGCCTTCTCGGGACATGTCCCTGCTCACACTGGACTTCGGGCCCCTGTCCCAGGGCTCGCAGGGAACACAGCTGCTGTTTTTTTCCTGGGGACTGAACGTGGGGCCTCGGATGACCACTGAGCCACAGCCACCTCTCTGTCGGCTAAGCCCCGCCGTGTGGGTGTGGGGACGCAGCACAGCAGGGCCCTGGTGCGAGAGCGGTTCCCAGGACTCTGGTGGCCGGGCGCCGACGGGAGGCCGGCCTCTGTAGCCTGCTCCAGGTGTCATCGAGGGGCTCTGCTCACCCTCCCTCACCTCGGGGGGGGCGGAGGTCACAGGGAGGCCGTGGGGTCCTGACCGAGAGCTGCTGGGGTCTGAGCTCCGGCAGGCTCGCCGGGAACTGCAGCCCACACCAAGGGAGGACGTGCGTCGGCCTCAGGGGGAGGCAGCCCACGGCCTGAGCAAGGGACGGACAAACACCATCTCTGCCGTGGCCGGGGCGCTGTCCACCCACCTGGGACTTGGGTCAGAGTCCCATCCCCATAGTGAGGCACCCAGCCTCACCCACCTGTGGCGTTCAGCGGGGTCTGTCCAGGTGATTAGGGCTGGGTACCATCTCCAGGACTGAGACCCGCTGCCTGTCCAGGTGACTAGGGCTGGGTGCCATCTCCAGGACTGAGACCCGCTGCCTGTCCAGGTGACTAGGGCTGGGTACCATCTCCAGGACTGAGACCTGCTGCCTGTCTTCCCCTGCACCCCCTGGGACTGCCAGCAAGAAGGTTGTCACCAGATGTGACATCAATGGCACCTCCAGAACCCCAACCAGGATAAACCTCTCTTCTCCAGAATGAGCCGCGAGTGGACTCCAGTCCCCACTCCCCGAGGTGGGCAGCTGCCAGGTCCATCTGTGGGAGAGAGGCAGCTGGCACAGTGTGGGGCTCTGGTGGAGGGCCAGGAAGACGACTTTCCCATGTGTCGGTCGCAGTGAGACCCTTGGCCGGGTGCAGCAAAGCCCGTGGGACGGTGGCTGTGCTCGGTGGGTGGCCCCTGCCGGTGGCACAGCCTGGCCTTGGAGCAGGGGCGTCACCTTCTCAGGGCTTAGACGAAGAGCCAGCTCCTAAATGGGCAAGTCCACTGTGAGTCAGCTGCCCAGTGTTGGGAGACCAGTGTCCCCATGGGACTTGCTCTGCGGCCAAAAATAGCTGCAGAGACATCCCAAACTCGTGTGGCCCTTGTGCTGTGCATGGTGACTCGGTCGCCAGGTCCTCTTGCTGTCCAGTGACTAGGTCGC